CAATCTTCAGCTTTACTTCTAGATGAGAGCCACATGCAAAGCTTAGACATAGGTGGTTGTTCCAACAGAGCTATGGGTCTTATGCAACATTTTCATATTTTTGTTGTAAACTTCTCTTACTTTTTCTCCTACCATGGGCTCCTATTAATGTGCCACACCAGATTTCACAAATGGTCTTAACTTCAGTTAATGATAATAAATTCTTCTCATAAATAGGAGTCAACATGTGTGTAGATGCCATCAACTAACATGACATAATTCAAGAAAATCTTCTTTTAATACACACACACGCACATTTCCTGTACATCTCCAGACCACGTCTGTCATCCCTTCATTGTCCTCTCCACCTTGCGGAACAAAAAACAAGGTGTCACCGAATGCAACAGAGAAACATTTGACTATTGACTATTGGACATGTGCAACATTTCCTGGCAGTGTAATTCACCACTGTTTGAATGTTTGCAGCTTGTTTTACTCCATTAAATCCTGCTGTACAGGTACATCTTTTCCTTCACCTTTCCTTTTACTATATTCCATGCTTCACAGTTTTAATAAGATAAGGTTTTGATAGAGGGTTATTCAGCTGTAATTCTTCCAGATGCCAATTGGAAAATTACCCTTCTTTTTATGAGTTAAAATCAAACAGTGAGGAGACATATGACAAAGCTAAATAAGCCTTCTTCTGTGTGTTCTGTGTTGACATTAATTTATGAATCTTGCCTTACGTAACCTGATTTTATTATATGGAACCAGGATGGAAAACCAACTGACCTCAGGATGAACGACCAGGCCCAAAAACTTAAACAGTGATGAAGTTTTACTGAACTTCCCTAATAGAGCAGTAATGACAGATGGAGAACAACTCTTTCTCTTGCCATGAGGGCATAGACAGATTTTCATGCCAAAGATGTGGATATATTCTTACTCAAGTCCGACGATATCCAGTCACAAAGCAAATGTCAAAATAATGCGTAAATATTGTTGTTTATGAGCTGCTCAGTTGGGCAGTGGGTAGCACTGCTGCCTTGCAGCAAGAAGTTTCGATTTCCGGGGTGTTTCTGCATGGAGTTTGCATGTTCTCCCTGAGCATGTTTGGGTTCTCTCCAGGTACTCCAGCTTCCTCCCAAAGTCCATGACTGTTAGGTTAATTGGTTTCTCTAAATTGTCCTTAGGTGTGAGTATGAGTGTGTGTAAGTGTGAATGGTTGTTTGTCTCTGTGTATCCATGTGTTGCCCTGCAATGGACTAGCGACCTGTCCAGGGTGTACCCCACCTCTCGCCCATAGACAGCTGGAGATATGCACCAGCACCCTTAAAACCCAAAGTTGGGATAAGCGTGACAGAAAATGGATGGATGAATAGTGTTATTTATCCTATTGATCATCTACACATGCAAAATTTCAAGACTTTTTTATAAAAAAAAAAAGCTGGATTTATGTCCTGAAAGCCTAGTAGAACAATGCGTATCTGTCCATAAACAGCTAGTTTTTTTTTTCTGAACAACACATTTTCACAGTTTTCATTTAGTCTGACCAGGACTTAAACATAAAGAGACTTTGTTAGGATCCTTATTAGTCTGAGCCATAAAACCAGAGCTGTTTAGGGTTACGTAAATCCTCACAGAGCACAGGACAAAGGTTTTTTTTTATTGCAACATCAGGGTTCAGCTGAAGGCCACTAATGATGAGTGGATTTAGATGAATGAGCATGATTCAAGCTAAAACATGCAACAAACATGTTTACAGATTTTGGAAACTTTTTACCATAAATGATTTGACTTTTGCGAGAAGAGACCTCTGATAGCTGGTTTCCTGGTTCATTGCTGTTTCAGTGAATAACTAATGCTCACATTGAAATTTGAAATCTGTTATAATCACACGCGCTAGATACAATTTTATGGTGATATAAAAATTATTTAGAAAAAATAAATGTATTAAGGCATAGTTTTCCAACTTTCAAAAAATGTCAGCTTTCCTCCCTCAACATTAAAACCATTAATCCCTTATTATCTTCTCTTATGTTAAACACATACATTTCTGAAACACTAACAGTATCTAAGATGTACAATCCCATGTGGATCTGTAATGAAGGAAGGCTCATTAATCACACAACTTCTGGTTGTAAGATAAACATTTCTTGCTTATCCCTATCGCATCAGTCATTAAGACATAGCTCAATGTTCATTAGTCTAAATTTGAAGTTTCAGAGTTTAACCGCAGACTTTTTAGATACACCATATTGCCAAAAGTATTCCTATAAATCTATTCAAATCAAGTGTTTCATCCATTTCTTCGCAACTAGTACATGAAATCTACACCCATGTAAAATAATGGCCACTCTTAGGAGCTCAGTGGACCCCAGTGTGGTACAGTGTATATTAACCTGTTAAATTTCCATGCAACTAAATAATGAGCAGAGTGTGAGTAGAGGTCAATAACTTTCTGCACAATGAATTGCTGCAAGGCTCAAAACTGTGGCCCTGAAATTAGCTCAACAACAGCACACAGGTGGCTTCATGTACTTTTCAAGGTCTAGCAGCTGTGTCCAAGCTTTACATCACAAATTGCAAACTACCTCTGTACTCCAAAGGTGGCAACATGCTCCCTGTGGTGAGAGTAACAACACTGTCTTGCAATTAAATAGTTTTTCAAAAACTGTACTTGCCTGGCTGGATTGTTTCAAGAGTAAATTTTAGAGCCGAGGAAACAATGTGTTAGGCAGTTCTTCAGGAACTGGACTTAGCTCATTAGTTCCAATGAAAAAAGTTAAACCTTGAACTTACAAGGACATTTAGACATTTTCATGATACCAGCTTTTTGGGAGCAGTTCTTGATTAGCCCCTTCTTGTCTCAATATGGCTGTGCATCAGTGGACAAACAATAAGCCATAAAGACACGGGTGAGTGTGCAAGAATACAAATGCCCTACATGAAGTCCCGACTATAATCACATTGACTCATTGAGGTGGTTTTTACAGTCCAGGTGAAGTTGTCTGTGATCTGCACCCCCAGGAACTTGGTACTGCTGACCACCTCTACAGCTGAGCTGTTGATGAGCAGTGGAGCGTGGTTAGGCCGGTTCTTCCTGAAGTTGACGATGATCTCCTTTTTCTCCACATTCAGAGCCAAAGCCTGTTACCTTTGCACCAGCCCGCCAGCTACTCCACCTCCTCTCTATAATCCCAGTTGATGTCATCTCTGATGAGGCCCACCATCGTGGTTTCATCTGCAAACTTCACAATGTGATCGGTGGTGAACCTGGGAACGCAGTTGTGCGTAATCAGAGCGAACAACAGGGAACTCCGAAAGCAGCGCTCAGGGGAGCATGTGCTTAAGGTGATGACATCAGAGGTGTTCTGTCCAACCCGGACTGATAGATCCCATATGGGTGTTTTTCTCCTCCCGGTGTGCCAGGCTCAGGTGAAGAGCAGAGGAGATAGCATCCTCAGTGGAGCGGTTCCGTCAGTAGGCGAACTGGAACCGGTCAAATGTTGGGGGGAGAATGGAGAAGATGTGTTCTTTAACCAGCCTTTCGATGCGCTTCATCATGATGGGAGTCAGTGCAACAGGCCAGTGGTCACTGAATGAGGTTACCTGAGGCTTCTTTGGGACCAGACTATTCTACCACGTTTCATTCCTCCAAAAGTGGCCAAAGCTCCATGGATTAAGCTTTTGTATTTTGAGAAGTATAGAGGACTGGTCTGAAGGCTGGTGAAATAGAGGCTGAAGCAGGTGGATCAGATGAGTGCTAATGAGAACTGGGAGGATACAATTAGGTGAATGGAATGTATAAGCAAACCAGACATCAGTCCCATCTCTCTTCCAGTCTTTTTTGATGCTATAAAACCTCCACAATTTTCCCCCATCTCACCTTTTCTGCCATTCTTAGTTAATTTATGATCAATGATTAATTAAAAAGCACCAGGATTAGAAAGTAACTTAAAGTTACGATTATGACCATGTAAACATACTAAATTATATTTTAACAATAAATGTAAATATTATTAATCTTATCTGTTACTTGCAATTATAATTCATATTGGCTGAAGCTTAAACAGCGGAAAAGCCTTTACTTTAGAGCCTTTTATCTAAAACTATTTGACATAAGGGATTGTGGGATATTGGACAAATATGGGATGAAGATCAAAATCACCAGATTCTGAGAAGGAAAACCACAGAGAAGCTTCATTGATATAAGGAAGGATGCAGAGTGTTGGATGTGAGAGAGAATGATGCTGCTGTCTTTAGAGAACCCTAAAGACAGCAGCAACAAATAATACATCCCAATACTTTATAATGTAACATGTTAACATTTTTAACAGAGCAAATAAAACTCATCCAGACTTAATTTAAAAATTATTTTAGAAATAGTTTATTGACATATGCAATAACTCAGCAAATAAATGCAGTCAGGTAGGATTATGCTTATTTTTCATGATTCAAAGCAGAATAAATGCATTTCAACTAATCTAATTCTGTATGTTTGTCAAGCAGTTGCTGACATTGTTGACTGTGTTACAAAATGACTGTATTGTAATGTATTTTGGCTGTTTGCAGAAAAATAAAAATGTAAAGCAATGATATTTGGTTATGATTGTAAAATAGTTACAAAACTGGTTTACTTCATGATCTGAGCAAAGTCTCTTTCTATATATAAATAAAATGCTCCATAAAATGTATTTTGTGGGAAGAATAAAAAGCACAATCTTCAAGGGCAAAGGATCTTTTTTGCGGTTGATGATTCAAAGTGTCTAAACTTTTAAACGAGGCTATAAGCTGGAACCAAGTTGCTTCAGGATCCTTGACCTTAATACCTCCCAAAAATGTGTCAGTGTGGAAACTAAGCCACACCTCTAAAAGTGATTAGTGAAAGCTCCTTTATTTCCTTGCAAAAATACACTGAACATTAACTTGTTTTTCATCCACCACTCACAGTCTGGCTCCTCCCATTTCAGGTATTTATAAATGCTTCAGTGTCCGGATCTTTGCTTCACACTACCATAATGTTTCTCTACCAGCTGCTCAACTTTTTCTTTGCGGCCTCCAAAAAGGAGGAGGACTCTAAGTATGACCTGTCCTTGTACAAGCGTGGAGACTTACTCGAGGTGCCTAGGACTTTATTCACTCATTTTGGTATTTACCTGGGCAACAACAGGGTGGCTCACCTCATTCCAGACATCCTGCCCGCCATTACCAAGGATAAATCTGCAATAGCTAAAATGGTGACAAACAACCGCCTGTTAATGGGTGTCATCACCAAGGTGGCCAGCGTCAGAGTGGACTCTGTGGCAGACTTTGCATATGGCTCCGATATCCTGATCAATCATATGGACAAAGTGTGCAGCCAGCCTCCATTGGATGGGGAAGAGGTTGCACGAAGGGCTGAGAAGCTGCTGGGATCAGTCACCTACAGCTTGCTCTGGTACAATTGTGAACATTATGTCATGTACTGCAGATTTGGCATGGCCATCAGCTACCAGACATACCAGGTACAATTACTATTATATCAACGGTTTCAAATCAGCTAAAACAATGCTTCAAACCCAAACTCTTAATTCGAACAGTTATTTTTCTAACAATAAGACATTTAATAAGGGACAGACAAAGTCTTAGGCAGCTGAGTTAATTATTGTTAATGAAGAATGACCAAGAATGACTGTTTTGTGAAAAAAAAAACTTATGACATAAAAGTTTTCTGTTCACATTATAAAAGAAAAAAATATATAATTCACTGGATACACTTGGGGCTCACCACCCAGGATGGCAACACCTCTGGGACAGCATGAACTATTGCCTGTCAGTTTTGGTCCAAATTTAGACTGGTCAACCCAAAAAAAAAATATATTTTTGACAAACAGATCGTCTATAAAACACATTTTGATATTTATAAACAACGGTGCTTATTGAAGTTAGCAATGTGGGTTGCTTTTCAGGGGGCATCCTGTCATGGAGCAGTGCATGGGGCACTTTATCATTGTTTCAAAACATAAAAAAAGCCTTTTTAGGTATTTTAAAATAATGACAAGAATCTGTTGAATCAAGCACCAACATCTTATCAAATTAAGTCTGATCTAATTATTTTGAACAAAGCTATATTTACATACATTGATAAATCAATTCTGTTTAAGATTGTTTTAATGTTTTCTTCATGTTAGTATAGAGATATAAATTTGACAAATGTCATGTGGCAAAAAGCCTATTGTCATTCATAAGTTTGCAATTCAGTCAAAAAAGCTTTACAATAAAGGTAATTTTAAGGCTTTTCCTAAACAGATCTAGTTTTTATACAATAATAAAGTAATCTTATTGAGCTAGACCAAATTTAATTTAGTAAAATAAGTACATTGCAGTTTAATCCTGGTTATAATGCAGTCAAATTCAATTTTTTATGCCAGTTGGTCTTCTATTTTAGGATTTTGTGTATTTTAGGACTCTCAGTTGATTGCCTAGAAGTAGTGGTGACTGTACATTTTTATTTAGTAAAAATATAAATGCTTTTTCTTATTTCATTCATACAGACTGTTATGGCATGGTAAAGTGAAATACGCCTAAATTATTCATGATAAATAGCTCCATCTAGTGTTAATCCGTGCCAAGTTACAGTAAACAGAACCTTCGGTGCTTCACTAACAGTGTAATACTGTCTAAGTGGTGTTTTTTCTGTTCTTTATAGTTCTGCACCACAGTGCGTAAGATCTTGTTCAGCAGAATGAGCGCCTACCTGACTGCATTGTGTGGCGTCTGCTTCATGCTGTACCTGAGCTGCGTGACGCCGCTGACGGTTCTTCTAACTGTGCTCATCTCCTTCACCATATGGATGGCTTCCTAAGCATTCAATGTAAAATAGCTCCAGATAAAAGACTGCAATCACAGATAAAGATAAAGTTCATGTTCATGTAGAATTTACTTGTTTTTTATTGTCTTCTACTAATTTGGCATGGATTTTCAAAATGAAGCAGGGACGAACAGCTCTTCAAATGACTTTTAATTAAATGTTAATACACCGCTGTTCAAATGTTTACTGAACTCTTATTGGTTGCTGTCAGAGGTGAGTAGTTTCAGTTCAGACAGTAAAATCCTTTACACACAGATTAGCCAACCATTTGAATTTCAAGCTACAAAGGACAGACAGGGTTTAATGTTTAAAACAGTGGTCTTAAACCTCAGTCTTCAAGCATTAGTGTAGTATATTGTGAAATGATCTGTTGTGCAGGGATTGTTTATGTTGTAGGAGTCTGCTAAATCTAATTACAGCTTGGAGTGACTGTGACTGTTCAATGATGTAGAAGTCCATATGCTTTTGTAATAAAAGTTATATGCACAGTGTTCACCTGAAAAGTGAGAGTTTCTGATATTTTCAAACTGGATTTTAACAAAATTATTTCTCTGCTCTCTTTCTTCCTCCACTGAAGACACTAGACAACAACAGCTCCACGCATTGCAAGTGTTGTATTGAAGAAATGCCCCAGCATGCTAGAGCTAATAGAGGATCAAAGCGCCTTGCATTCACTGGGCTAACTGGGAATGTAAGTGATAACTGGCAAAGATTGGAGTAGCAGTATATGACACCTACAGAAGGGGAAGAGAGTCTAATCGGTACAAGTGACCATCATGCTTTGCCCAGTTGGGAGCCATTGAAATATATAATACTCCATGAAGCTGTGGGCAGGTAAGCCATGCTGCAACAGACTTTGGGTGCATCAAGAACATAGAATAATAATAAGAATAATAATTTCAAAGAATAATAATGTTCTGGTCTAATCCTAGGCCAGACGGACTCATTGTAGACAGGTTTGTGACAGAAATTTGATAAAAGTGCAAAAAAGCAAATTTTGGGTAAATGCAAATGCCATAATAAGTCACAAGCCTGTGTCACTGATGAAGCAGAGACTGTTGAGGAAAAACAGGCCTGACTCTTGATAAAGAGGTGGCTGCAGCATGGCAGAAGAAAATTAGTATGTTTGAAAGAAACACTGCAGCAAAATGTGTCAGTGCAAGATCTAAGTAAGGTGACAATTAGATCTGAAAAAAAATAAATAAATAAGAGGTGTTCAATTTATCTGATAAAACAGTCATGTAGAAGATAAAAGCAGTTTTGACATACATAAAAAAACACTCCGTAAGACACTGTAAACAAGTTTAGACCCACATTTAGCCCAGATGTGACTGATACACACAGGACTGATACAGAGTTCTCGTCTGCTGGTGCTCACGAGCAGAGTATTAGGAAGCACTTTGTCCCTGGAAGCTACACTCACATACCAACAGATGCTGGATGGAAGCCAGCCACCTTCATGGGAAAAACAGTGGAACCATATTCATATGATGATGTCATCTTCAGGGGAACAGATACAGGTACCTAAGGAGAACCCAGCCAAGTTTTCTGAGAGGAGAAGACTTTGGTAAAGAGCATTGCCCACAATATATTGCTGCATGTGACATTTTGAGCAAAAGGTAGAAATAATGGTGATTATTTAGCTAATAAACCTTCATCCACCCATCCATACATCTTCCTCCGCTTATCCGGGGTCGGGTCGCGGGGGCAGCAGCTTAAGAAGGGAGGCCCAGACTTCCCTCTCCCCAGCCACTTCTTCCAGCTCTTCAGGAGGAACCCCAAGGCATTCCCAGGCCAGCCGAGAAACATAGTCTCTCCAGCATGTCCTGGGTCTTCCCCGGGGCCTCCTCCCGGTGGGACGTGCCCGGAACACCTCACCAGGGAGGCGTCCAGGAGGCATCCTAAACAGATGCCCAAGCCACCTCAACTGGCTCCTCTCGACGTGGAGGAGCAGCGGCTCTACTCCGAGTCCCTCCCGGATGACCGAGCTTCTCACCCTATCTCTAAGGGAGAGCCCAGCCACCCTACGGAGGAAACCCATTTCGGCCGCTTGTATCCGCGATCTCGTTCTTTCGGTCATGACCCAGAGTTCATGACCATAGATGAGGGTAGGAACGTAGATCGACCGGTAAATCGAGAGCTTCGCTTTTTGACTCAGCTCTCTCTTCACCACAACGGACCGGTACAGCGCCCGCTTCACGGCAGACGCTGCACCAATCCGCCTGTCGTCTAATCTAATAAACCTTGCGTTGAGATTTTGATAAACACAACATTCCTCTCAAAGGATCTACTACCAAAAATAGAGCCCTGTGTTCTTGAAAATATTTACTAAGAACTTTTCTCCAAATCTGTCTGTGTTCTGAAACTAGCTAGTGATAAATTGCAACAAAAAGTAAATTTTCTCTAAGGATTACTACAATAAGGGAGTAATTTTAGTTAAATATTTAGATGTGAATTATCGTTTTAAATCATTGATTTAACCAGTGTGAATAAACAGAACATTATATATATATATATATATATATTTATAAATATACATACAGTATATGAAGAGAGAAAGAGATGTATTCAAGTTTTATTTACCGGTATATATTTTATTTATATGTTTTTGCTGGAAGCTGTTTTTTCTTTGTCTTTCATGGAAGCGGATGTAAACTTTCAAGCACAATGGGTGGTACAGGCCATTTACCCTTTACCATTTTAGGCATATGGATGCCATTACAGGGCAGATAAACAAACAACCAATGCTATTCAAATAGGGACTACAGCCTTCGAAAAAGGACTACAAAAAACAAATGTGACACCAATGTAGTGAACTATCAGCTTTCCATTACAAAACCACAAATGCACTGGGAAGTGTCCTGCTTTCTAGTCCTAGCTCTTTTCTAACTCCCAGTCTTATTTGGATAATCCTTACAGATTTGAATTATTCGGATGGGGCTAGAGGAAAAAAAAACTTTTCTAAGTTTTATTGGTAAACAAATCGTTTATTGCTAAGGTCACCAACCTTTCTACTAACTAATAGGAAAGGCTACCACTACTGATCTATGAACTGGAGGAGTCGGCGCTCACCTAAATTTAATGCATAATAAACATATTTTTGATGTTTCTTTTAAATTCCAATTTTCTTTTAGTAACTGTCATTTTGAAATCTATATAAATGCTATAATGCTCTACACGATTACTATGATGAAACGCTTTATAGGTTATTAAAAAAGAAGAGCAACATAATGAAATAAAAGTTCTGCCTTTATTTTGCCACTGACTGTGAGATTTTTGCATAAAATCTGGCATTTCAAAGAGTCCATGCTGTCCTTCACTCTACTCGTATAGCACTAGCCTTTAGGAGATAAACAGCCTGATGCCTTACAGTCATGTTTATTGTAAGTGGTAGCAAGATATTGCTAAGCCTTCATGAAGCCTCTTTTGAATAGATTTAGTTGTATAACAATTTGTGATTACTAGTCTTGCTGTAGATATCAAACTTATTTTGACTTACTTTTATTACGTAGACATTCTAAAATTTACCATATCTGTAAAAGAAAAGCTGATTACTTGAAGACACAGATGGCATACTCCTGAGTTAACACCCAAAACACTGCAACTAAAAGATGACCTCAGAGCAGTGTCCTCCCCACAGGAAGGTTTGTGTGAATAAGACAGTTTGAAACACACAAGGATGTGCACAAGTACAGATGTAGAACAATCCATTTTACAAGCTAATCTTTAATAAGCAGTGAATAAGGAAAGTTAGCATTACCTTTAACATCATCCTATAAAAGAAAAATTACTTTATTGGTTTCAAGTAAGTAGAATAGTTGGACATTTTTAGGGAGAGTGTTTACATATTTAGGCTAGATAGCTTGTTCTCATCTGGTCACAATTATAACTAGCTCATCTCCAAGACAACCTAACAAACAAAACCTAAGTTTTGATTATAAAGAATTGAAGGATATCCAAAAATCACTAAAATTCCATCATAGAGTAAAAGTTATTAATAATGGAACACATTCATCATATTCTTTCATTTGTAGTTATTATTGAACAGATCAATGTTAATAAAGAGGAATTGGATTGTTGTGTTTTTTTATTAGAGACTTACCGTATATTTATTTGGATTTTAAGAGGTTTATGTAATGTCTGGATCATAAGTTGTATTAAGCGGGTGCAGGTGCACAGGACCAGCTGAGATTGGAAGGTAATTCAGTTTTGTTCCCTTCAAAATTGGCACCTAAGTTTCAGGGTGGATTTACAGACAGTAATCACATCTTCTCATTGCGTCTTTGAAAATCAGGTTTTCTGTTTTTGTAAGACCAAACTACAACCAGAGGGCTTGTTTACTTGGATACTTACTTGAATATCACAGAACTTGCTCAGGACACAAACATGCTTAACCTGACTTTAATTCAGGGCATGATGGTACAGATATTCTTAGCTAAAAAGTTTATTTTTATATACCTTTCTTGTTATATGCTATTGGGATTTTTTTACTTTTAGTATTTTAATTTTGAGTTGATGAAAGAAAATTAAACATATGGGTTTTCCATCTTTCTTAGAGCTAAGTTCTGTTAGTTGAGGAGTGTGTTTTTTCTTCAATTCTACTGAATTAATTAGTTATTGCTAATGGCAAATACAGCTGTCAATCTTTTGGAGAATGTTGAGCTTGGACACTAGATGGAGAGTATCTGTAAAGAGCAATTTTAGATCCTCACTGAACCCTGGTTGGATTTAGGCCTTGACCTTGAATGCTTTAAATTTAGCCTTTGATAAATGTGTAGGGTTGTTTTTTTCTAGTTAGAAGGTAAATTTCTGTACTAGTCTCAAGTCGTCTGCAGAATTCAACACATTTTCCTCCAGAAGTATTTAACTCCCTGCCAAAAACTTCCCCACATCATAATGCTGCCAACACCATTTCAATCTGAAAAACTCACACAGAGAGAAAAGACCATTTGGAGAAATTTATTGATACAATTACTTTGTCTTTGGTGCTCAGACCTCTGCAGGAAACATAGCGCTTAATTTTGATAGATATGCATGAACAGGAGTAAAGAACAGGGCTGTTTCCCCCCAGGCCTTAAACTGGTGGTGGAGATAGATGAAGTTGGTCAGTCTGTAGACTGCTGGTTAGCGAGACGGTATGCTGAGCTTTATGGGGAGATCCAGTGGACTGCGTGAGCTGATACTAGAGCTTCACTCAGGGACCTGGAAGTCCAGTTGGATAACACAGGTTGAGAGAACCTGTCCATGATGAGCAAGCATGAAGCAACAGTGGAGAGGAAAATCTCCTCGTTGGGAAGAAACCTCTGGCAGTACCAGGCTCAACATGGCGGTCTTCTGCCGGAGCGGTTAAGATGAGACATGGAACGCAGGATGAGTCCAGGAGGAATGACACTCTGATGAAGCTTAGCTACGATGGTGGAGGAGGGGCTGGAAGTGGGCTGAAACGGTGTCATCT